CATGTCTGGATTGATCAAGTTCAAACTTCACACACACATGGTACATCATGTCACAAATAGATATGTGCATTTGTTTCATGATCTGCTTAACAATAGCGGAATGATGGCCATTTTAAGGCCGAAAATGCATCAAAATCACGTATTTTCACAATTCCAGAACCGGATCTCAGTCATGCATGGATGGATTTTGTTCAGATTTAGCACAATGTGTTGTACATATGCAGGTGCATTTCGGTCATGATCTGCTTTGAATGTATATGTCTCTCAAATATGAACGGAACGGGGACGTGTCATTGACAATGACTTGTTGATATATGGAATACCTATTTCACAAATAAAAACATTAGTGTCCACATGACTTTTCCTCAGAAAAATGGCAAAAAACACTTCTTCAGAACCACTGAACACATTGATCTGAAATTTGTTTTTTTGGCATCTATGTAGAATGCTCATTAAAGTTTGTGAAGCCTGGTTTTATTTTCTTTCTCATTTTCAAGTTATCTCTTACATTTTCTCAGAGACTCTGCAGCAGATGTCAATGAAACTTGGCAGGTTGATGAACAAGTCTGTGTTACATATGCACGCAATTTTTTTTTCCAGAACTGAAAATCCTAAGTGGGTCTTTTTCAAGATTTTCATCCAAAATTACCTCTCTCTACTACACCGACAGAGCAACTGAGCATGCTCAGAATAAATGATGAGCTTGCTCAGAATAAATGATGAGCTTGCTCAGAATAAATGATGAGCTTAGATTGTAATGCTATTGTTTTTAGTGATGTCATCCAAATCAGTGACAGATGGGTTGTAATATTACCAATCTCAGTGGAAAATGTTGAGGGGTGTCAGGGCTACATTTTGATGGGAATTATAGTGGTGATAATTAAATAAACCCAGGTCCTGGTAATATACAAAGACCTGAATTAACAAAGAAGTCAAGTTGTTATTAAAGGTACATCAAGATCTCGGTCATGCATGGATGGATTTTGTTCAGATTTAGTACAATGTGTTGTACATATGCAGGTGCATTTCGGTCATGATCTGCTTTGAATGTATATGTCACTCAAATATGAACGGAACGGGGATGTGTCATTGACAATGACTTGTTTTGAATAACTTGGCTAAAGACCAAATCTGAAAATTACAGCATTCACATCAACATTAATTTTTAGCTCCGCTGTCGACTTTGTCGAGCTGAGCTTATCATATGAGTGATTGTCCGTCGTCTGTGTCAATGTTTTACTTTTTAGCTCCGCTGTCGACTTTGTCGAGCGGAGCTTATCATATGACTGATTGTCCGTCTCGTCGTCCGTCGTCATCCGTGTCAATGTTTTACTTTTTCGACTTCTTCTTGAAAACTACAAGCCTGAATTCTTTGATACTTGGTGTATATGTACCTTGGGTAGACCTCTCTTAGGTTTGTTCATTTCATGTTGATATCTTCAATTCTCTAATTTTGGTGAATATTTTTGGTAAAAAGTGATATTTTCGACTTCTTGTTAAAAACCGCAAGTGCAATTGCTTTGATATTACATATATAGGTACTACATGTCGACCTCCCTCAGATTTGTTCATTTTGTAATGATATCTTTAATTTTCTAATTTTGGTGAATATTTTTGTCATTTTTGGTAAAAAGTGATATTTTCGACTTCTTGTTAAAAACTAAAAGTTCAATTGCTTTGATATTACTTATATAGATACTACATGTAGACCTCTCGCAGATTTGTTCATTTTGTAATGATATCTTCAATTCTCTAACTTTGGTGAATATTTTTGTAATTTTTGGTAAAAAGTGATATTTTCGACTTCTTGTTAAAAACCACAATCATTTATGGTGAAAAATGATATTTTTGAATTCTTGTTGAAAACAGCAAGTCCCATTGCATTGATACTATGCATATTGTTCATTTTCTAATGATATCTTCTGTTCTTTAATTGAAATGTGCATTGCTAACAGCGGAGCTATCTCAGCCGAGAGGCTGCTTGTTTGTCTTCACTACAATAAATCCTGTTGGGAACATGCTAAACATAACTAACCTAGGGAGTACACATTGTCTTGATAGTCTTGACTGATTGATGTATTCATTGCTCATTATGCATCTCCAACAGCGGAGCTATATCAGCAGACAGGCTGCTAGTATTTATATTGTCCATTGTGAATGACAGGAGTGTGTATATAATCAAAATTACTCATAATTTAATGATCCAGCAAACAAATTGTGACGAAACATGGTACATCTTTCTCACTCATCTTTCTAAGGTCTTTCCTACGTTACAATGTGATAAATTACCTATGTGACAAATGAACTGTTTATTGGTATGATCATTTTTCAAATGCATTCTCCAAACTTCAACCAGTACATCAATTACATCCTAACTTAGTACATGTATTATGACTATAAAAGTTGTATTCTTTCTGTTAGGATATTTCTTCAGAGAAGTGAAATGTCAGCAGTGTTACAATTAAAGTGTCACAAGTAGCATATGATACAATATAAAACAAAGGAATCATTTTACACATTTATATTAATTTATTTTAAATATTTGTATAACAATTTCTGAGTCTTGTTCTTGTTGTACAAATTCAATCTTACTTTGTTGACAGTATAGAGATTGCTTCGACACCTTTTGTTTCATTATTGTGTTAGAGCATACAACTGTACATAGACACCCTACAATGTATGTCCATTTAGGAGGTTGTTAAGTTGTTTCAAAGAAGGAGTTATCACTGTTTTGAGAATAAAAACTGTGCTCTTTAATATTAACAGCAATTACAGATGGATATTAATAGGTTACGCAGTACAGTTGATGAAGTGAGAGATCAAGCTATGGAACTCATTACAGAAGGAGGGTCATGTCAGATTGTTGTAGAACCAGAGCTAATAACACTCAATCAAAGATGGGAAGATGTCTCTGCCAAAGTTAAGGTTAAGATAATTTTAAATATTATCTATTAAAAACTATCAAACTATTTGTTTGTCAGTGGCAACTGCCTTGAGAAAAGTGGATGGGGAATTTTTGTTCATGAGAAGCTTATTCTTCCAAAATGATCTAATGAGATTTATTAAAACGAAGTTCAAAACAGGAACATGTGGGTTTTTTTGGCCAGTTTTCAGACATATCTGCAGTGATTTGGTTCATAGTTGGAATGAATTACATGTTAGTGCGACATGTAATTTGTTTCATGATTTTTTACAAGTACCAGACTTATCTTTCTCAGGCACGTCTTAGCAGTGTTTCCTGCCTTTTTAAGATCTTGCTCGTGCATATATATATATATATATATATATATTACTTCACTACTGTTTTACTACTTTTATGCAATTATATTATAAGGGACATTAAGATTAATACAGTGCATGTAGAATTATTTGAGGAACATGAATATTATTTATTTTTGTTATGTAATCATGATAACTTCATTGTTCTCATCTATTTTGGTCAGAATTGTGAGAACATTTTAGCCATTTTTTCTGCAAAAAATGTTTAGATATATTATTGCACTGTTTCCGGACTTTTATACTCATTTTGCCATGCAATTAAAAGGTTATTGCATTTGTTATTTAATTTGTTATTTTATTTTTTTGATGATGTGATTGTTGCACAGTAGTATGTAGTAAACAATAAAACATTGTAAATTTAAAATATATTTTGCATGAAGATCACATAAAATATACACTGATTTTGTCTAAATTTGAAACAAAAACTTCATGGTTTGGGTGTTCTTGTTAGTTGGTCCAAGATGATTTAATGAATTCAACTGGCTGACAGGAATTAACAAACAAAAACTTGAATCACATGTCATAAAATATTTCTCCATCATGCCTAGAGGGATGTTGTTCAAAGTTGGTCTAAAAACAAATATTGTGATGGACTAGTGTCTCTTTAGACTGATTAGTCTTTTATAGTCTATGTGGGAAAGATACAGTGTACCATTTGTGCATCCACTAAGCTTCATAAGATGACACCTAGATCAACTAAAATTTAACTGTTTTGTCTTTCTTAATAGGAAAAGCAAACTTTACACAGACAAGAAGTTATAATAGATTTGAAAGATAAAACAGCCACCACTTCAATAGACTTACCAGTAGTCACAGAATCACCTGCAGTAACGTCTTCCAGAACAATAACCACAACGTTTGAAACCAAACCCATTCAAGTAGAAGGACAAGTTTCAACTGTTACTGTGGAGAAGACAAGAACTGTCACCACAACTATTGAAAGATCAGCACATCAACCCGAAGAAGTGGATGTAATTGAACCTATTAAAACGAAGGAGATTGAGCTGAAGGATACGCCAGTTGTCATGACAACTGTTACATCAACAAAGACATTCAATGTGTCAGAGCCAGTTGCTATGGATACAACTGATGGAGAACAGAAAGAACGAAAGCTTTCTTCATCTTCCTCTTCATCATCTGATGAAGAGGATAGATACATTACAGAGTTTAACACTATATTGCAAGAAACATATACTGCCATAGATCTTTTTGATATTAATTTGAAAAAGGAAATTGAAAAGGATCCCGAAACCAAGATCAAGGTATACTGTCAAATTACTGCTTCCATTTATTATAATTTACTGATTTTAAACTCTCAATTTTATCTTTTTAGTCCCCGTTCGGACGAAGTCCGAAAACGGGGACTTATAATTCGGTCTCTGTGCGTTCGTCCGGAGTCATATCTCAGAATCCCTTGGACCGATTCCGTTCATTCTTTGCATGTGCCTAGTACCTTATGTGGGACATATGCACATGCAGTGGTTTAGCGATTCAATTCAAAATGGCCGACTGGCAGCCATCTTGTTTTTTGAAAATGTTGTATTTTGGACATGCTTTGTCAGTTTTCTTTCAAACTTGGTACATAGATTATACATGTTAGGATACATGTCCATGATAATTTATTTCACAATTGGATCAAAGATGGTCGACTGGCAGCCATCTTGTTTTTTTAAAATGTCGTATTTTGGACATGCTTTGTCAGTTTTCATTCAAATTTAGTACATAGATTATACATGTTAGGATACATGTCCCCGACCGTCCGTGAGTTCCTGAGTCTGACCGTCCGTGTGTCCGTCTGTTCGTGCGACCGTCCGTG